TCGAAATGTCCGAGGTGCTGGTCGGGTTGGGTTCATCGAGGACTTCGCGGAGCACCTCGGCCATTACGCTTGCGAAGGACTGCCTGGCGCGCACTGACGGACGCCGTTCGTGTTTGGCACCCTGTGGTTTTGGCCTTCTGCTCACGCTTCTATTTCTGTTGAAGAGCAAACGTAACCCCGAGTCGGCCCGAGTCAGCACGAGTCCATGTGAGCAAGATGTAGTTCCGTTGCCTGTCTTCCCGGATGGCGAACTGGTACTTCGCACTTTGCCAGGACCTTTTTTCGTCTCCTACCCTGGAAAGTGTTAGCTGGGATTGCCACTTGAGCGGCCGCTGCTGGACAACATGATGGGCCTCGTCAGGTGCCAGTCTTGGGTCTTCCAATGTTGTCCAGATTTTTTGTTGGGCAAAGATGCTTTTGAAGTGATTGGTCAGGTCCTCCTCCTAGCCTTCCTTGCTTGTGAGATCCCCTTCCCACACCGCATGGGTGCGCTTGTGATCGCCCGCAGTGTTTCCCAGTCTCTTCAAGGGCCCAAGGGTCAGACTTGCTTGTCCTTGTTACGTTGCCTCCACATTCGTTTCCCTGGATTCTGACCTGCGGGGCGCTCTCATGGTCTTCCTTTGGGTCCTTGACTTCCTGGCTCTCCCTATAGGATTTGTTGCCTCGTCTTAAAAGGATGTTTACAAGGCCGGGCAAACACCAACGCAAGCTCCAAGAATAAGAAGCCGAAAAGAAGGATCTCAGACATCCGCGTAGGTACAGTGCCCTGCTGGAGACAGAAAAGCTGTCGGACAAAGTCCGCCGGCCATGGCGAGAGGCACCAATTAACCGCAACAGTCGGCGGAAGTGGAAGGTCACTTCCTGAAGCGAACGGCTGCTGTGTGGGCTGCAGGCAAGCAAACATCACTTGACCTATCCCCAAACTAACCCGGTGCAGGGGCGCAGGGCAGCCTAGCAAATCGTCACCAGCCACGGAGTCACAGTTCGGTGCAAAGCAACTAGGGCAGGGCTTACAGCTCGCGTAAGCGAAAGTCTTTCTCGGGCGCCGGAGTAGGCAACCAGTCAAAATCCTGACTGTGTCTGCCAAAGTGGTTGCAGTCGTAAAAGCGATGAAGGCTACGGTGCCTCAGTGCATATTGTTGATGACGATGCTGACCCTCTCATGGCCCTGCGCATAGCCCTGCGCAGCATTGAGGGAGAGACCGCGCCAAGTGAAGGCCAGGCACATTGCCAGGCTCAGGAGTCGAGGATGGTCAGAAGGACAGGCAGCGTCCCAGACCAAGTCCAAGAGGCGCCAAAGCCACAAATGTTGGACGAGTCGAACGCACGAAGGCGCTCCCTTCCGAAGCAGAGGAGACGCAGCACCGCCACGGAGGACAGTCCCACTCAAACAGCCGCGAGGCTCGGAAGAGGATGAACAATACTGGCCGAAGGAGCCAATCAAAGTCCTGGAGGACGAAGTTGATGCTGACAGCATGGAAGAAACAGCCGAGACCTCGAGGCGGGCCACAACAGACCGAGGCTCCGAGGAGTGGATGATTAGAGATTAGAGAACCAGACGGGGCAAAGCGGCCACCCACTGAAGGAGACAAGCAGTAGCTGAAGCGCCGCAAGGAAACGGAGGAAGTGACGGTGATTTCGGTTCCTTAAAGGGGCCCTTTTTTGGATGTATTTCGAAACCATTTTCCGTGGTATTTCATGTGGGACATTTGTGTAGCAGCCCTTAGCGTGTCTTTGCAGTCATGTCCGTTACACATGCGTCGTGACGTGCGCTGCTCGAAGCTAAAAGTTTTCATGGTAGGGGAACTCTGGACAGCCAGACTCCGAGACTCCGCGACACGTCTAGGTCCGGGGTTTGGTTCTCCAGGTGCTGAGCTTGTCTTTTGCTTAGGGTTTGCTGGTTGCTTTGGTGACCTAGATCCTCCTGTAGCTGCGTCATAGTGTGCAGTCTTGTGAAAACGGAGGACCGTCAGGACAAGGGGCATTGCCTACAAGTCAGAGAGATTGGAAGGTGGCCATGTTCTCCAGCGGCGTGTGGAGATTCATTTGTTCACCGCCAGCAGCGTGGCCAAAGGACTGATGAGTAATTAGGCGTGGAGTTGGAAAACTCGACACATCAGTGGGAGACTTCTGTGGCTCCAGGATTTTATCAACAAACATCATCATGCTGTACTTCATGCCATCCTGACTCTCGCAAACCCTGCCTACCTAATGACAAACTCCTTGTCCAGTCAGCGCGTAACATGCCTTTGCTACAGCCTTGGCATGCGTAGTGAAGATTGAACATGAGGAGCCGCGCCAGCTCATTGAGGCCAAGCATGTCTGGAGAAGCATTAGGCGTGCCAATCGTGGACATGCAACAGCACCTCAGGTTATGGCCTTGTTGCTGCAACTGTCCATCTTCAGCGTCCGTGTCTGAAAACAACAATGGAGCGGCCATGTTCCTGATTGCCGTCATTGCCATTGCGCGTGGTGCCTGCCTGTTTTACCCGAATTCTCTTAGAGCGGTAGGGTTTAGGACCCGCCTGTATACCCCAGTGCGATGGTTCCTTAGGTGGTTTATGGGCCGAGGGTTCACTGCAAGATCACGACAGCGATGAGTCCGAGCCGGACAGCGTGCCATCTTTGGAGAATGTTGATGATGTCTTGAATGATGCTCATGATGTGTCGTCTGAGGATCCCTTGGGATTAGACCTCCCCCGTCTAGGGACTGTGAACCTTCAGAGCCTGATGAAGAGCTAGATGAGCGTGATGCAGATGATGATGGTCAGAATCATGATTTTGGACAGAATGACGGCGGACGATGGCCGATCCCGGCCATTGGTCACAATAGAGCATTTTTTTCGTTGAGGTCCCGAGATGAAGCCTTTGTGTATATCGGCCCAGTTGCAGGACGGCGATTCCACATCGAGCGTGATTGTGATGGATTTCGTTTGGCACGCCCACAAATCGAGGTTGAGAATATGAGAATCATGTACCCTGGAAGGTTGGACTTGCGCGGGTACTGCCAAGCGCTATTGCAGCGTATGAGAAGGACCGGAAACTTCCATATGGTTGAGCTTTTTTTGGCAACCTGATGATCCGTGAGCCGGAGCCTCACGTTGACACTTGAAATGAGCCTAATACCGAATCGAAAGTGTTGCATGCAGTTTGAATTCCTGCATTTGCCGTCCTGGCTTGTGATGAAACGCAGTGTTGGTGGCACTTGGAGCAAGCGTGCAGCATATGTTTGCCTGTACTGTAAATGAGTGCATGAGGTGTGTTGCTCAAAGAAAAAGTTTTTAGGAAGAGCGCCAGCAAACACTCGACGTGAAGCTGCCCAAGCTTACGAAGAGATCGTGGAGGCTGAGAAACCCAGGAGGACCTGAGCTCCAGTTAAGGCAACTGAGCGCGACTAGGCACGCTAGCTTGAGCATAGGCGCTCTTCTAGAGGGTCCTTGGGGGAATTCATACCCCCCTTAAAAGCATCAGAGTAAGAGGAGAATTTTGATGGTTTTTCTGTCACGAGCGGGGGGGTACAGTGCAGCTTACCCCAAAGACAGCGTTGGGTGTGCGAATGGTAGGACAGACTACCCAGTATCAGGTTTCAATCCTGCCGACTGCCTTGTGTAGACGGGGCAAGCACGGGTTCCGCAACCGTGTCACCAGCCACTGGCAACAAAACAAATCAAAACTGGCCGTCAAAAGAAAATCAAGAAGCAAGCAGAGACGGGAAGTGGCGCTTCCAAAAAGAGTTTAGCTTTGGACATGAACAGTTACCCCCAGGAACGTGCCAAACCCCAGCTCATAGAAGCAGCAAAGCACGAAGTTCCGGTGATGTTGTCTTGACGCGTGCTGGTGATTCACTGTGCTGTGGTGTTTTTGTTTGGACTTTTTCCCTAAACTTCTGACACGAGGGCCAACCGAGCTCTAATTTGCGGAAGACAGCGGAGGCTGTATGCTCCAAGAGGGGTGTGTAATCTCTGGTGCTTTGGGGTTGGTAGGGGAACGAGCAATGTAGTGTTGATGGGGGTGAGTGAGTCAGACAACACACTCCGCGACTATGCCAGCAGAGCAGGGAGGTTAAGTGTAAACACACCGGGGAGGCGAGTGTGACTATTGGTTTTACTTCCGTGATTGCAAGTTTGTTGCTGCAGTTCCCTCAGGGTTTTTGTTCATGATTCGTGGTGTGCCTGCCAACTCGGATTGATGTACTTCATAACGGAGTCTCACACCCCAGTGGAGACGGGATCGATGCTCAAGTGGGTCCACGGAAGCGGGTTGAAGTATGCGCTTATGGTCGTAATTAACAACTGGACCTATATGGGGGTGGCTCTGGGTCTCCAGGATGGGACCGGGACTGTGAACCTTGCAGGGGTTCGGGCATTGCCCGAGGAGAATCGCATGATCCCCTATAGCTTGTGGAAGAAAAAAGAAACACAGGAAATGGCAGCACAAAAGCAAGAGAAAAAGATTAAGAAAAACGCAGAAAGTAATCATCAAAGGAAGGAAGGCACGAGAGAAAGACATAAAGAAAGAAAGACACAAAAAAAAGGAGCACGGAAAGACAAAAGAACGAGAGAGAAAGCTAGAAGAAAACACAGAAAGAAATAGATGAGGGAAAACCAGCTATCCCCCCTGGCCCCCACGTCAGCTTTTTTATTGCGCCAGCTAACCTCAAAAGAGACTCGTTCCATCATCGTGTTGGCAGGAGTTTGCCTTCAAAAGTTCCAAGCGTGAACCCGGGCAGCATGTCATGCAATCATTGTGTTTGCAAACGGGGGCCTGCGTCCGCCCAACTCCCCCCCTCTTTTTCAACCGCGCAAAGCTGACGTTTGCCGCCTGGGCACCTCGCTTAAGAGCCTAGTCCCATCACATCCCATCACCATGCTGGCAGGAGGTCGCCTGTAGGAGTGTCTTTCAAGTTTTCACGAAGGCAGCATGTCATCCAAACACATCTTGGAATGCCAGCAGCGCAACCACCTGCTCTACTGCACTGAGAGATCAGCTTCTTAGTGAAGGCCAGACATATTTTGAGAGTTGACGCCTCCACAGACCAAGTTGGCTTCATTGGTGAAGATCTCAGTTTGTCGACAAGCGTACTATCCCGGGCTGCGCTGATTATTGAAAAGGACCTGATTTCGGGGAAACGCCTGGAAAGCTGGCAGCTCAAGCAAACATGGCCCGTCAATGAATGTTCAGCGCATCCAGCCTTCCCACAGTCACAGGTGGTGGGCAGGAGCCATGACTCTGGTCAACACCATACTTTGCCCACCGCATTCAGCTGGGCAGGCCATCGTTTGTCGGATTGTTTGTTGGTCGCCTCCAAATGCAGATGTGAGGTCCTGCAGATTGACCTCTTCAGCCAGACGTGCAGCTTGATCGGGAGAAGCATTGGTGATGGCGAGGCTGCATTGCGCGGGAGGTTGCGGGAGGTACATCACGCGACGGCACGTCCTGAAGCATCCTAATCAAAGCCCTTCAGGCAAAGTATCGTGCGATCGTGCAAAGCAACGATGGCTGCTTTTACTGCCCACCATGCAATGCACCACAGGCCAGGGATCGAACAGTCCTACAGAATGTTACAAAGTGCTGCTTGTGCACATTCGTCAGGTGCTCTGTATTGATCCGCTCGTGCCGGATGCGGACTACATAGGTCAGCTCTCGCCAGGCCAAGTTCCATGGAAATCAGAATGCCGCACTGCTTTCAGGTCCAGACTTCTGCTGCGGCGGCTTCAAATGGGCAAGCTGCCGAAAAGAAATTGGTCTGTCGTTGCAGAGGTACATTCTGCTGTCTCAAGGTTGTGGCTGGCTTGGGTGAAGATGGCTGCGTCTACAGCTGCCTGTTGGCAAACATAGTTTTCCGTAGCTACGCGACTCATGCAATAACTGGGTTGTGGATTTCGGAGGTCCGCCTTGGCTGGCGCACAAATCACTTCGCGTGGATGTGCCAACACGTGGCATCCTTTCGAGCTATGGCTGAACCGAAGGTCATGTAACTTGCGATTGCCAATTCAGGATGGGCCCGACAGATAGGAAAAAATCAAGGCCACCATCCTGGAGCCCGCATGCCCGCATGCACAAGCTGTGCAGAGAGATGTGAGATGATGTGAGGTTGGGGCGGCGGCAAGTGGGAGGCAATGTATCCGCACGAGGAGCTGCAGTAACTGCCGCGCGGTGCTTGAAGCCTTCCAGTAGATGCTTCCGAAATTTCCACGCCAATGTCCAGAGGATGGCTTCTTCTATTGCCCTCCACTGTGCGTGAAGACCTTACACTACACCTTCCCCAGCATGAATTTGACGTCCATCTGTTGCCCGCGTTGTTCAGCAGATGCTCTGCGGCAGCCTGCGGCAGCCGGGCATACTGTAGCTCAAAAAAAGGTTGCGGAGCTGGAGCCCCTCGACCCTTGTGCTAGCTGGGGTGTCTGGAGTTCATGCAGTTCAGCCTGGCCCGTAAATTCAACACTGCAAACCAACGCCTTCATCTTGAAAAAGCTAAGCTACAAGTAGCAGTTGTAAAAAAGAAGTCTGTGCTGATCAGTACAATCATACTTGGAAGTTACAGGTGTGGTGAGTGGACCTCCGCAAAGTACTTGCCAGCATATCTGTCGCTAAAGCCATTGTTTCTTCGAGGCAACAGACGCGTTGAGCCTGGACACGCTCATTGGCACGACGGAGGCTTTGCTCACTGATGTCCTTCTCGAAAGTCGGCATTGTCTGTTGGCTGCAGTTGCTGACTCCTGACTTGGGCAAAGTCTCCAAGAAGCCAGGACCCTGAAGCTTTGTTTTCGCAGCATGCAGCATGCAATATCTTGTTTGCCAAGGTGGCGCTGCGCAGGAAGGTCGTGTGCAGGAGATGTGTACTGCCCACCCTTTGGACACGACAAGGTTGGCTAACTTTCGCAGTCAGCAAAACCTGGTTCTCACCCTTTGCACAGGTGTTGCGCTTGACATTCAAAAGTTTGCAATTGGATTCGCCATCGGGTCCTGATCTAAGCAAGACCCTTCAGTTGCGAAGCCATGCACGGGAACCTCTGGCAGTCGTTAACGAGACCCAGGAACAAAGGATGTGCCTGGATCACGAGCTTCAAGCCATGTGCAAGAATCACGGGCTTCAAGCCGTACACAGGCCTAAGCTGCAGAAAGACGCCGTAGCTCGAATACCGGGCGTGGCCTCTATTGTACAAAGCTTCGAAGAACCCGACTTGTGTCCTCCAATATGGGGCAATCAGCCGAAGCCGCAGAGTTCAAGCATGAAGTGCACGAAGGAGCAGGATGCAAAAGGGTGAAAGCAGCCAGCTCGTGCATACGTGGGCGTGGCTATGGGTCGGCTTTGCATAATTCTTCATTGGTGAAATAGCTTCATACTTTCATCAGGGACGGTCATTGAAGGCATACTAGTTAACACAGTTCTCAAGGGCAAAGTACTCGGAGCACAGACCACTCCTCTGTCTTCATAAGTACCGAATGCTGCCAGCAACACTGAAATTGAGCAGGGTTCTTTCTGGCAGAAGCAGACCTCGTTGAACAACCCCTTTTTGCACAAAGTCCGCCAGCACGAGCTGCATTGCCATTGCGAGAAGCATGGGCCACGGTAGCGCTGACTTTTGACCACTCTGTCAGTCACGAATTGCCCCAAACTCCAAATCCGGATCGGGAACCAGAAGACAGATAAGAAGATCCAAAGAACGGCGTCCCCGAAAACCTGTCCAAGAGCCTCGAAATCCACCATATTGAGTTTAGCTGCAAAACTTAGCCATACACAGCGTACATTTATGTTGCTGGGCAGGGTTCAGCAGCTTGATTTAGAAGGCCGACTACGCTAGCACATGCTCGAGCACATGCTCGAGCACATGCTCGAGCACATGCTCGAGCACATGCACGATCTTGCAGCATCTTGAAGCTTCAGGCTCAGGAGCCTTTGGAGCTCAGAAGCTGCCATCAGGTGCCTTTGAAAAATGCAGCAATGATTGTCAAAATTCCCTACTACAACATGTCCTGCGCCTCAAAACACAAACAGAATTAGTAATCATTCAGGCCCAAAACGTAGTCTTACTCAGTCTTCCTTATCAAGCGCTGGGCCTGAACAGCCGAAGCTATTGGCACGCACGGATGGTGACTTGCAGATGTGCGATAAACAATCTTGTATGAAGACGGCACTAGGACAGCTTTTTGCCACTTTGAAGGTCAGCCACGTCAGGTGGAGAAGTCGGAGGTCGTGAAGGAAAGGAGGCCGAATGAGTTTGCCGGGAGTAGCGTTGGAGCATAGGCTTTTGGCACAGGCGAGGTGGACAGCCACCTAAAGTGCTAGCCCCTTTCCAGCCATGGCGGAGGCCAGTGCTGGGGCAAAGAGTGAGCCGGAAGCTCCTGCCAAAGAAGAGCAGGACTCACAAGAGACAGAATGGGAACAGTTTCAGAAGTGGAAAAAGGCCCAACAAGAGGCCAAGGAAAAAGAAAAGGAAAAATCAAGAAGCCCGCCGAAGAAGACGAAGACCGCAGAAGATGACCCTGAGTTTATTGCTAAGCTGCAGTCAATGGGAATCCAGATAGATGATCTGGACATGCAGCTGAGACATCAGCTGCGAACTTCGGAGCAAGCTCGAGAAGATTTCCTAGCAGTGCACCAACGCGGCGCCCTCACCACCTACAATCCGGACACCGGAATTTTTCAGGCAGAGCAGCCTGCTAGGAAGAGAGACTTTGCCACCTCCTCGGCTGACAACGTTGAGATAGAGCAATCCCTGGAACCCAGGATCAAGGAGGCCATGCTCAGTTACCACCAGAACTCCGTCCTCCCGAATGTCAACAAGCTGTTTCAGCAATGCGACATGTTTTATCAGCAGGTCTCAATCGAGACAGCGATGCAGCAGTTCCAGAATGAGAGATTTTCTGCACAGCTCCAGTCCCTGGAGCAAAGCAGGGCCAACAAGACCGTCCTCCTCTATGACCTGCCGCCGTTTACAAATCGTTCTACGCTGGAAGGAAATGTGA